AAAATATAATGAATACATCACACATATTGTCACATTTATTCATCTGCATTTCTTATTTTAGTGGAATAAAAAAGTCTTAATATTATTAATAATATTATAATTACTTAATTATTCATTATTTATAATTATTAGATATGAACTATCTACAAAATAGGTTACAAATTCTACAAGTACTGTACACATTGTAAATATTTTTTAGTTGTATATTAAAGTACATTTTGTAAATAAAAGAGTATTGGAGTACATTTTACAAGAAAATACTATTTTAGTCTTTCTACTTTTTAATTTTTTCCTTAATTCCATGTGTTATCTGCTGTGTTGTTGTAATTATTTGATCAGCTATTTCTGAGTATTTTGTAAATTCTCTGCGAAAAACTGTCACTTTCAATTTAAATGTGTCATTGCAGAGAAATTAAAGTTCCAGACATATGATTTACATAAAGCACACCTTTGCTGATTGACTGGTTATTTATTTCACGGGCGTATCCTGCTGCTTCTTAGCAGTCCTACATAAAATAAGACTTTATTGAGCTGCAAATTCAGTTGTGCTGCTGTGCAACCTGCTAAACCTGCTGAGAGCCAACTAATCTCTTTTTAGTATAAAACTATTAACCTTTGCAGACTTCAGCACAGGACATGCAGACTCTGCAAAAAAGATGTATGATTGCAATCTAACTCCCTACATTACTGACATGAATTCAGAGTGAGGCTAACAGAGGGTCTGTATTTCTGGAAATTGTTATTGGAGGAAATGCTGCAGCTTATCAGAATGTATTGCAAACATATCATAGTCCAGTTATCACAGGAAGTTTCTCCTTAAGGGGGCGTATTACAGAAAGTTTCTTATCTTAGGTCTTAACTTAAGATGTGATATGTTAAATTGGGATTTTTCAGAAATTCGTATTACAGAAGCAAATCTTAACTTGATTTGGGATTCTTATCCTATCTTACAAACTCGTATCTTATCTTATCTCTAGTTAGGAAATCTTAAATTGCATTATCAAGTTCCACAATCCACTCTCAGGTCTGTTACTAAGCAACCAACACTGTGCAAGCTGCTGATGAGGTAAACGAAATAATAGAAGCTACTTCACTTTGAAAATGGCCTTTTGCAAAAAACCCTAACACACTGTGTCTACACCAGAAGTGACAGCTGTCTTGTCGCACTGAGCCGCAACAGCTAGTCTGCCTACACTGTGACTGGACGCGACAAAGCGACCGTTGAAAATAATTTGAAAATTGTGTCAGCATGTCATAAATAGAACGCGGCAGCAGTTTACAGTCGGGGATTTGTCGTGTCGCGCCGCGCCGCAGCCAGTGTAGACAGCATCACTGATTGTAGACAAGGACTGTGTGTAAGGCATTAGTCACTTGCACTATAACCGGTAATGCTCCGTGACGCTTTGTTGGTCTCTAATGCTGGTTGCAGCTCCTGTGCTAACTGTAATATCATGTTGCGCGGCAGTCTGTAATTACTTATAAGTGTTTTGTCATCAGAATGTAACACATCTTAAGGGTCCTCCAAGAGTCTTTCTACCATTAAACATCTCCGTTCTTCATTTTCAATTATATTTAATACCATTGTTGGACAGTTCAATCGTAAGCGGGTTTTCCTTTAGCTTTCAAATAATTTTGAAGTTAGGACAGCTGTGAGGTTGTCCTAAAGTTCAGTTTTTAGGATTTTTTTGTCAAGTTAGGAGGTCTGTAGTTAAGATAAGATAACACTTAGGAAACGCTGTTCTGTAATAGCTTTTGTCCTAAATGTGGTCCTAACTGAAATTACCATGGTTACCAAACAGATAAGATCAGATTTTAAAGTTTGGATCTTTCTGTAATACGCCCCCTGGTCTTTAACCTCAAGGGAGGATGTTGTACATTGAGTCTTCACACCATAAGTTAGTCATTTAGATGATTTTTCCCTTAATACTGTATAACTCCATGTCTTCTTCAGGGTGGGCAAAACAACACTTTCTAAAATACAATGGCAAAAAAATATGACACACCACCCTTGTCATGCCAACTGAAAATACTGAGCTGCAGAAATGCGTTTTAAAAAAGTAATCTGTGTATCTTTAAAAATTAGCATTAATGGTCTTGTATAAAGTGTCACAACAAAGGAATTTCTTGGTGAGCTCCTAGTAGAGCATTATACTGCATGAATACAGAACTCCACCTTGTGGTTGTTTTAGTCAACCTTAATCTGAAGGCATTGACTGAGTTACAGCATGGGACTGACACTAGTTTGTGGAATATGAAGATGCCAAGTTGGTAATGGGAATTTCAGCTTTGCTTTATTGATCTTGACATGGAATTTAATTTTTGTCTGTGATAGATGCCTCAGGCCACTTTATGTCTAGACTATCTATATTTATCTGGCCAAACAAGTTATTTACTTGATTGATTAAATACACTAGGGGGCGCTATATATAAACTTCCAAATAAATGTTCACAGAGTTATGATTAACAACAAATTATATGGAACAATATATTGCTTTGCTTTTTTCACAAACGATATACTTTCACTACAATAATGTGAAAAAAAAAAAAACTATGTGATGGTACTGCATTTTGGAAATTAGAATGGATGTACAGGTGGTGTGTTTGGTGTTATTTATGGTAACATTTTTCATATGACAGATAAAAAAACAACATGAAATAAACTGATTAGAGAAATGATGATGCAGATGAAAGACTCATAATGCTTGTATTCAAGGTTTATTTATTTATTTTATTCTGGCTTTGATATCAAGTGCCATCAAAGGCATGAGACAACATAATTTATATTATATATATATATATATATATATATATATTGAAATAAAAATAAAACATTCAAAATAAAAAGGTCGAATAAATGTCATTTCTCACTTTAATGGTTAATAATTTTGTAACCTGCTATTTTTCACCCAGCAGATAATGACCATCTTCATTTTTCATTCTTGTGTTTCTTAGCTTAAGTGTCACTAGCTTTTTTAAATCACTGTCATGTGCTAGACTTGAGATGATATCTGCTGTCAGTCTGAATGAAACATGTTCTGGCTAAGACCAAAAAAACAACAACATTCAATTAAATATACTGGGTATAAACAAAGACTATAGAAATACTGTTGTTAAATACTGTCAATTAAACGTTATTGCTTTATCACTTAAAAAGTGTTAGACTTTTGAATATTGTATAAAATATTGTATTTAATAATACAAATAATTAATAGTACATTTTTATTTTATTCAAAATAAAATAAACATATTACAAATGCATAAAAATACATGAAAATATTAAACAAATCTTATAAAAAACAATCAATATCATATATACAGTGAGATGTGTATGAACTGCTGCCTTCAATTCCAATACTGTCAAATCAGTGCAATCGTCTTTGTCAGTAATACAGTGCCAGCGATTTCATAAACCATTATTTGGCTGACTTCTCCTTTGGTGGCTGGGACTTTACTCGTCTTAGGTATTCTTTGGAAACTCTTACAGACTTTTTACTAGGGCTCCAACGTTTGCTACCTGAGAGCAACAAAACACACTGTTAGACATTGAAAATAAATCTAAATAATAATAACATTCAAAATAAAGCTGTTCTATTGTCTTGATAATGACTTGATAAAGTCTCATATTAATTACAGACAAACCCAAGGTGATCAAACATACCATTTTTACCACAAACATCCACACAGCTTTGTTTGGAGATAAAGTTATTGTTGCTTCCTCCGCATCCTGTGTATATGAACTCCTCGCATGTCTTTGTAGCAGAGTTGTAGTAATATCTTGGGATGGAAGCTAAGCACTTTCCTTTGTCCAAAATATCATTGCAAATCACAGGGATTGCTGAAAAAAATAAAAGACCACAAAAATGTTTAACTTCTGATCTTAGCATTTTATAGGGACCTCAAAGATGTTCTCGGTGAAGCCAGGGTCCATTAACTAAGCAAGGCGAGAGACTGGAAACCATTTAGACAAGATGGCCATTAAACAAGCCTGTTGTGCTGATAATTTGAAAAGATGAGAATAAAAATATCTTAATGTGTTCCAATGAAGACAATTAGGGTTGCAAGAAGTACACAGGTCCCTTAATGTTCTCTTCTATGTTCCGCTCATCCATTTTATTAATGCTGTTGACATTTCCTCACCAAATGATTATGAAGATTGAAAACTTCATTCCTACTATTTTCTTAAGATGACAAACACACTTTCCAACCATCTTGTCTTTAAATACATGTATGTATTTTTATTTGCATTTTAAATATTTGATTTAAGGCACAGAATGCAAAAGCCTAAATGTAAGATTTGTTAGAAATGCTAGTGTGTCTCAATTGGTACTTACTTTTAGGAGGTCTGCAATATTCAATACATTCCTGAAGGTTTTGAAAATTGTTTTCATTCCCTTGGCAACCACCATAAGTGAAGGGTTCACACTGCATGGAGGTCATATTGAAGAAATAACACTTGAAGAGGCCACGGCAGGGCCCCTCTTTCTTTTGAAAACGACAGATCTGGGGGATTTCTGTTGTGTGCAGAAGAGAACATGTTAAAGTGAGCATTTCACATCATTTGCACAAATTACTATGGCTGCTAAAGAGTGAACATAATGCTTATGTTATTTTTTTTTTAACCATAACTGCCCTCAGAACTCTCATAAAAAGTCAATTTAAGATGCTATGTGTATTGTTTACATAGCTTATGCGTGTATTCAGGGTGGACGTTTAAAATAAACGTACTTGGAATCCTGAAGCATGTTTTCTGACATTCCAGAAAGGACTTGAAGTTGTTTGCGTTTCCCTCACAACCGCTATAGCTGAATTCTTCACACTGTTGAGTGATTGTATTGTAGTAATAACGCTGGATGTCGTCATTGCACGTTCCTTCTTCAATTTGCAACAGGCAAACTTCTGTGGGGGAATAAATTACGCGTTAAAAAAATAATAAACCTCAACCTCAAACAGTCCGGTTTCATTGTCAGGTTTCAACAAAACAACGCATCTGTTTCGCCCATTTTACTACAACTTTTGAAGAAGCCATTAAAAGAGTCAAATGTTTTCTTTACCTTTGGATTGTAGTCCGATGGCGCTTTGCATGACGGCAACAATAAGCAAAAGACCTCCAAGCAAATCACACGCCATTGTAATAGAGTTTATTCTGAGGTCTCGTATTAGTCTGATATGGTACAAACTGTTATGTTACTCGCCTGATAAGTTACTAACTTGACTTCTCACAATCGTTGCCTTATAAATGGAGAATTTTTTAGGGGTGGAATTGGAAGGGCGGGCTATATTTAGTCATTTCCATGACAATTCCACGCAGTAGGCTACTACAGCAAATTGCGTCTATTCCCAACGTAGAAAATAAATAATGACTTCATATTTCATGACCTTAGAATTATATCAAAGCTAAACTTAGTATTACTACAACGATTATATAATATTAGGCTTTATATAGCCTATATATAACTATTACTAATAATAATGCACTGTAAAATATTTATCAAAGAAGGTTTATTGGAGTAGCCTACGTTTTATGTTGTATTTTATAATAGGCTACTACGACTAGCCACTATACGACCAAAATACTACGTCCAAATTTTACGTTAGTTTAATGTGTTTCTTGCCTTTCTTTATAAATATTTTAAAAAGTTTACTAGACATTTCTAAGTGAAAATTGCTTAGAAATTTATTTTTACTATCCTATACCATGTTTTTACTGTAAAAAAAAAAGTTTAAAAAAATAAATAAATAAATAAAAATATATATATATTATACATTACATGTACATAACAATGTATTATTTTATTAAGATAATTATAGAATAGTTGTAGTAGTTTGGCTCTGATATAACGGTACAATTAAATAATTATATAATTATGTGTGACCACCTATGAAAACAGTTCTTTGAGAGAATACATTTGTCATATCTTGGATGATAATGCATTATCTAATGTGACAGGTCAGGGGTAAACATGGATTAGCATGCTCATCCCAGCAGCCTGTAATACTTTCTATGTCCCCTTGACCTATATTACAATCCAAGGGTCATTACGAGAAAACCTGAATCAATTTCATTATGTTTGGGATATTTTTTATTGTTTATGTAAATATGTATTTACTTTATTGAATGTGTGGTTGTTCACAAGAACAGCTGACCAGAAATTTGGAGAAGACTATGGAAAGATAAAATAAGAGTGCTTGTTTAAATGAGATTAAGAGATTACAATGTTTATGCAGATTACTTTATAAACAGGATTGAGAGAGAGGTACAGAATCTCTGTCCATTTTCACAGGTGGAGGAGACATCATCATAAGCGGCAGTAAATCTGGTCATCAGCAGTATATTGTATAATTAAATATCTCAAACATAAATACCCTACCACATGTGATGTGATCGTTTGGTTTGATTTCTCAGACAATGCCGGTCATAAATGTAGAAGATCTCACAGATCTGGATAAGGCTAAAATGGAAGTAACCCAGCTCAAAATTGAGGTGAAGCTTGAAAGGGCGAAGGTAAGCGTTGAAATCCACCAATGACCAGATTACACAAAATGGACTACATCCAAGTTGGATGGGCATTGTTGGTATGCTCATTTTTGTTTGATTGTCCCTTTAATGACTTTTTTTCATCAGGTGTCCAAATGCTGTGAAGAGATTTCAGAGTACATTCAGAGCGGAGCAGATGAGGATCCTTTGGTCAAAGGCATTCCAGAGGAGAAGAACCCCGAAAGGTGGCTGTGTCATTTGCTAATGTGGACAGAGAAACTCCCAACCTTTGCAGTTCAGTGTTCATTGCTGCCCATGGACACCTGCTAAAATTTAATCATAGCTGGAATCCACTCTGCTACCCAAAAAAGGACAATCACAAACATGGATAGATGTTCAATTAACTCTAAATGGCTTTTTCTCCCTTAAATGAGTCCCCAGGATCTGGACCCTCATATGTTGTGTATTCCTCTCTGAAGAGCTGTAATAAATCAGACTACCATTATGCACTGATCACCGGAGACTTGATGGACTAATACATGTATTTATTTTGTGGGCAGCCAGCCAAAGGGTAACATCTGTGTGACAAAACAGGGTGAAAGTGAAATGTTTGAGCTTGTAATTCACATGATAAATCAAGGCTTAATCTTGGTGGAATATTTTAGCTATTCAATAAAATCACATTACTTGGCAAAGGGCCACTACAGTTTCTGAGTGAAATTTTTGTCACCACAAGAGTCATAATGGGTTTTGTTTAAAATTTACAGGAATTTAAAGAAAACTTCACTTAATGTGTTAAAGGAGTTTGTCATAATAATTCAGACAAAAGGCCACACTTTCCTGTTAATTACAAAATGATAGGTAGCCTACCAGCAGCGGTTAACTGCCAAAATACAGTAACTACATTTAATACGTTTTTAATTAATAAAAATGGATTTTGTTTCATTTAACCATTACTTGTTTACCACAGTTTTAATGTAAAACTATAAATCGGGTGGATTCGGGTAATCTGGGACACCTAAGCTGCAGTGTGTTTATTTCCTGTTCTAACTAAATTTAGACAACAGGACTTTTACTATAATTTTAGCATGGATGTCATGTGACTGAAATCACATGACGTCATGGGGGTGATTCCACAGAAAGGGGCAGGTCACTTGTCAATCAAGAAGCTCCCCTGGGAATTGCATGACAAGGTCAGTGACATTAGGATAGGATTCTGACTAGATTGATGTTAAGGACATAAATCTGTTATAAATAAGACAATGTTCCTAATTGTTGTCAAATTATGTTTGTGATCTATTCAAGCAACAAAATATGTATTTAAGTGTTGAACATGTGTTTTAGTTTTTTTTTTTTCTTTTAAACATTTTTTGTTGTCTCACATTATCAAATATGATTGAGAATGTGGGACAGCGTGCTTTGGGTAATCTGGGACAGTCTTCATTTGGGGGAAATATGCATTTAGGGACTTTATAAATCTATTGACAAGGCTTAATATATGCCATAATGAGAAATGGGTGTTAATATGGATTACTAGAGGTTATTACATTAGCATAAATTCACATTAGCTAAACCAGCTAGCTAGAGAGAAGCTACAGAGATGGAATCTGGGAAACGTATGCTGCATGCAAATACATAGAGAGAGAGAGAGAGAGAGAGAGAGAGAGAGAGGATATATATCACCTGCAAGGAGTGTTTGTTCCGTGGCCCCAATTTGAATAGAACGGAGAATTTGAATAACCAAATGAATAATCCGTTAATCAAATTGTTACTTGCTGTTACTAAAATTTTAGTTGATTTTTTTAAATGTTAATACAATGTTAAACAAATATTAAACAATTTTAATAGAGTTTTAAATAAATTAACACAGTAGATCGATAATCCTGTGTAGAGACAGAAATTATTTTTCCTGATATTGGAATATACATTTTCTTATTGAGATTTCTGTACTTGTCATTTTTTTTCATAATGCTTTTTAAAAATTGGTGATATTCTGTTTGGCATGCATAATGTATGGTGAATATAGACTTTTTTTTTTAGGCCTAATACATGTGACCCAGATTACAAAGTGACCTGTCCCAGATGATCAAATTCAGGCAGGATATATATATATATATATATATTTGGCACAAAAACACTAATAGGTGTGGCATGTCTCCTCTAGGTATAATATCTACATTCTTTCTTTTGGTGTGGTTAGAAAACATCTTAGGGATTTCAGAAAAGTCTAATGTGTTGATACTGTGTTAGATAGATATCGAAATAAATCGCAGAAGTCAAAATTGCAAAAAATGTCACAGATTACCCGAATTCACCCTGTTAACTACAGTTATCTTGATTAAAGCGCTGATAGCATACTGTACATTCGAATTCTACTTGAGTGGTCTGATGCGCATGCGCAGATCAACACTTTTCAGAATGGCACTGCGCGTCTTGAGATTTAGTTTGGCTTTGAATCGCAATTTACTTAAAACAACAGTTGTCTGCAACAAACGGCACTTGTCAGAAAAAGCGTCCTCCAATCCGAAAGCATCCGTTTCTACCGAAAATATCGATCATGTTCTCTACACAGAGGAACATCTAGCATTAAAAGCATCTTTGAGAAAGGTAGATATGACCGCGTGCTATTGTATTGTATCTTTAATAAATGTACAATTCTCTGTCGAGATTAATGTCGAGTAAGTTCCTTGCTACCTGATTATTACACTCAAATGAATGTGCAGGTCGAATCTTTTTCAGGAAGTGAATGTAGGTAAGAGGTCACTTACTGTAGCTTTCATTGCACTGCTAAGTTAGTTGCAACTGGTCGGTTGTATGAATTGCTTGGGATTTTATTGTCAGTGTCTGACATAATTAAACGATTTTATGACGTATTTTCTGATATAAAGATACATTTTCGCGATTAACAGTTGAATTGTGAAGATTAACCGCTTTGTTTTGATGCCTCCAGAAAGCGCAGATTGTCACGTGACGCTCAAGTTGAGTATGGCCTGTCAACTCCAGACTTGTTATTTTTAAAAAATCCTTCTATACCAAATAGATAGTTTTTTTATTAGTTACATTTCATTAACATTAAAATTACAATTTGTATTTTTTATGACAAAGCTATCTTCTGTTCTGCTGTCATTTCCATCACACCAAACATTTTAGAAAACAAATATTTATTTTCCCCAAAACGTTTATGCTTGATTATTATAGGTATTCGAAGTCATCAAGTGATCTCTCTCTATCTCTATTTTTTTTAAATGTCACATTTAATTTACTAATAGCTATTCTTTTGAGTTAGCAAGGTCAAGACTTTTCTCCAAAGAGTGAAAAAATGTCCTTTCCATTATACCTCATTACCTTCTTTAAGGCATGTGATAAATGTTAACATGAATTATATTTGAATTAATAAGATTTAAATGATTGGAAGTCATTATAATTATACTTTTATATCAACTGTGTAGACTAGGGTTACAGGGCTTGGGAAGGAAGTTGCTTTCTCCAATTCCCAGTGGCTTCAAGTGTGTCGGAATAGGCTAGTATGAGAAAGGATATAAGTGGAAAACAGAAAAAGCAACGGATAATGAAAACAATGCCATAGAGTGAAGCTCAGGGATGGAGTTTATTAAAAGAACTCACCAGAGACAGTGACACATTGAAAACAAGGTAGAAAAGTCCTTGATTTAGAAGCATGTAATGTTATTATGCATCTAAATGAATGGAAAGACTGGTGTGAAATTTAACAGTCAATGATATTTGCACGCTTGGTTTTATTTTTCAGCTTTTACTCATGCTAAAAGTATTTTACAATAAAATGCACTTCTTCTCAAGGTC